AACTGCCAAACTACATCATTATGTAACTTCCAAACTATCATTACATAACTGCCAAAGCATTGAGAATCACGGCGAAGCCAAGTTGACACACAACCTTAACTATCACACTCTGATTTTTGTTTGTTTGCCTAGTTTTCTATGTACTTATCATTAATTCGGAACTCTGGTGGCAAAGCATTTAAAGAACTTGGCTGCTAACCAAAAGGTCAGCAGTTCGAATTGGCCAGCTGCTCCTTGGAAACCTTATGGGGCAGTTTTACTCTGTCCTACAGGGTTGCTATCAGTCAGAATCGACTCGACAGCAACAGCAATGGGTATCAGTAATTCTCCCCAAAATTCTCCTCTAAATATCTACATCTTCTCTTAGTATGTTCAAACATCTTAGGTTTTAAACAAGATACCTAAGGCACAAAACACAAAGGAGAGGGCTGATACATTCAATTACATTAAAATTTAAAAAAAACATTGTTTACTAAAATACAACCAAGAAAGATAAACACAACGCAAGTAGTGAGAGAATTTATTTGTTACACAGATAACCAACAAAGGATAAATATCCAAAATATACCAAGAACTTCTATAAAACAATGAGAAAAAGATAAAAACAAACAAGAAAATATACAAAAGATATGAACAGGCAATTTTCTGAAGATTAAATACAAATGATCAATAAACACATGACAAGAAGCTCATCTTTAGTAGTATTCAGGAAAAAGCAAAGGAGAAACCATTTCTCATTCATCATACAGGAAAAAATGTAAAAGTTTAACAAAACAAAGTGTTGTTGGGCAACAGAACTCTTTTATATTGCTGGTGGAAGTATACATTAATATAATTTTGGAGGGAACATTTTTGCAATATCTAGTAATATAATAGAGCCCTGATGGCGCAGCCATTAAGAGCTATGCCAGCTAACCAAAAGGTTGGCAGTTTGAATCCACCAGTCACTCCATGGAAACCCTATGGGGCAGTTCTGCTCTGTCCTACAGGGTCGCTATGAGTCAGAACCAACTCGACGTCACCTGACAACAACAATATAATAGGAGTCCCTGGGTGGTAAAAACAGTGAAGTGCTCGACTACTAGCCAAAAAGTTGGTAGCTCAAACTCACCCAGAGGCATCTCAAAAGACAGGCCCGGCAATCTGCTTCCAAAAGGTCATAGCCTTGAAAATCCTGTGGAGCAGTTCTACTCTGCACACATGGGGTTACCATGAGACATAATCGACTCGATGGCAACTAACAACAGTAACGCTAGGAATATGTATACCATAGGAAAATTTTAACATGTACATCAAGAGACATGTACTATAAAGCTTGTAGGAGCTTTTTGTTTGTTTTTTGTAATAGCAAAAAGTTAGAACAAAAACTAGTCTACCTGGAAAACAGATGATTGTGGCATATTTTTGTACAATGGAGTTCTATTCAGCAGTGAAAAAAAAATGAACCAGAATTTCACACATCAACACAGATGAAAATCAAGCATAATTTGAGTAAAAGAAAGCAAGTTGCAGAATACACACATCATCATGCCATTTACATAAAGTTTTAAAATCTGAAAAATAATGCATTGCTCAGGTGTACATACATATATGTTATAGACTGAACTGTGTCCCCCAAAAATGTATATCAACTTGTCTAGACCATGATTCCCAGTATTGTGTACTTGTCCACCATTTTGTCATCTGATGTGATTTTCCTATGTGTCGTAAATCCTACCTCTATGATGTTAATGAGGCAGGATTAGAGGCAGTTATCTTAATGAGGCAGGACTCAATCTACAGGATTAGGTGGAGTATTGAGTCAATCTTTTTTGAGATATAAAAGAGGGGACGCAGCAGAGAGAAGGGAGACCACATGCCACCAAGAATGAAGAACAAGAATGGGAGTGCGTCATTTGGACACAGGAACGCTGCGTTGAGAAGCTCCTAGGCTAGGGGAAGATTGATGACAAGCACCTTCCCCCAGAGCCGACAGAGAGAGAAGGCCTTCCCCTGGAGCTGGTGTCCTGAATTTGGACTTCTAGCCTCCTAGACTATGAGAGAAAAAATTTTTCTTTGTTAAAGCCATCCACTTGTGGTATTTCTGTTATAGCAGCACTAGATAACTAAGAAAATATATTTTAAAAAAATAAAGAAATACACACTGATAAACACAAAATTCAGGACAGCGGTCATCTCTTAGAGACATGGAGAAGCCACTGGAGAGAAACGCACCTGAATTTCAAGGCTTTGACAATGTTTTATATTTTAATCTGGCTAGTGGGTGACACTATTTTTTATGTTTTATATCTTTTCCTATATTTTAAATATCTTCTAATTATTCTTTTCAAATTATTTTTATTGTGGTAAAAATATACATAACAAAACATTTGCTAATTCAACAATTTTTACATATCTTCTAATTATTTTTTAAATCAAGGTTCAGAATAACATCTAGAATTTCCCCCACTTATAAAAAAGAAAAATGTATACATAAATATTTTTAAATGTATAGAACACTGCTAAGAATACATAGATAAAATTAAACAATAGTTGCCTCTAGGTTGAATGATGCTTGATCACACGGGAAAGACAACATTTCACTCCATATCCTTGTTACTTTTTTAGTTTTGTACCATGTGTATGTATTATCTTTTCAGAAATACATGTAAAAGTATTACCAATAATAAAAATAAATAAAAAAATTAGTTATAAACTTTATACTTAGACATACATACTCAAGTACCTTATATCTTCCTATAAAATTGTGTTTCTTGAGAGCAGAGACAACGTAGAATTTATTTTTTCATTTCTTTCTTACCTATCTTAACATCTAGGACAGGACAGTGCTTCCAAATATATTTGTACATTCAGCAGAGCCTACAGATCTTATGGAGGCAATGATAATTTCTAATATTGTCCCTTGTATCCTTTCACCTACCTGTGCTAGGTGAAAAATTGGTGTTCAGTGCTGATAAATTTAATGAAACTGATACATATCTTGTCCTTTTTTTCATTCCAATCTGGTACGATTTTTTGATTTTAAATATTCCTTTTCTTCTGGAAGGTCCCTAGGTGGTGCAAGCAGTTTGCAATTGGTTGTTAACCTAAAGGTTGATGATCTGAACTCACTCAGTGGCTCTGCAGAAGAAAGGCCTGGTGAACTGCTTTAGTAAAGATTACAGCCAAGAAAATCCTATGCCACAGATCTATTCTGTAACACATGGGGTTGCCAAGAGTCGGAATCGACTCAATGCCAACAAGAGATTTTGCTTTTCTTCCCCCTAAGTTTCATTTATTTTGTTATTGTTGTTAATATACACTGCAAAGCATACACCAATTCAACAGTTTCTACATACAATTTTAGTGACATTGATTACATTCTTCGACTTGTACAACATTCTCACCCTCTTTTTCTGAGTTGTTCCTCCCTCATTAACATAAACTCACTGCCCCCTAAGGTTCCTATCTAATTTTTCGAATTGCTGTGGTCAAGCTGATCCCATACAGATAGTTCTTAAAAGAGCATAATGCTCAAGGCAGGACTGTTTTATTAGTTAAGCTAACCTACTGTTTGGTTTTAAGATGACTTCAGGGGATATTTTTGGTTTAAGGTTTAAAGATTATCTCAGGGCAATAGTTTCAGGGATTCATCCAACCTCCATGGCTCCAGAAAGTCTACAGTCCATGAAAATTTTAAATTCTGTTCTACATTTTCCCCCTTTTGATTAGGATTCTTCTATGGAATCTATGATCAAAATGTTCAGTAATGGTAGCCAGGCATCATCCAGTTCTTCTGGTCTCATGGCAGAGGAGGCAGTTATTCACGGAGGCAATTAGCCACATGTTCCATATCCTCCTCCTATTCTTGACATTCCTTCTTCCTCTGTTGCTCCAGGTGTATTCAATTGGGAGACCAATTGTTGTGTCCTGGATGACTGCTTGTAAGCTTATAAGACCCTAGGCACTATGCAATAAACTAGGAGGTAGAACAGAAGCATTAAATACGTTTTTAAGCCAATTAACTGGGATGTCCCATGAAACCATGACCCTAAACCTCCAAACCAAGGAACCAAATCCCATGAGGTATTTGGTTGCACAAAAGCAGCCTCAGCAGCTATTTTTTTTGTCATTGTAAATACATCTATCACACAACCTTTGCCAATTCAAGTTTTTACAACTGTATAACTTACTGACAGCAATTAGAATAATCCACTGTGCAATACCTTTAATCAATGCGATTTTTCCATCACTGTTAACCCCCTTTTCCCCTCCCTCCCAACCCTGGTAATCACTAGTAAACTTTATTGTCTATACATTTGCCTTTTCTTGTCTTTTTATATACATGATGTCATAGAATATTTGTCCTTTTATGATTGACTTATTTCACTCAGTATTAACGGCTTCCAGATTCATCCATATTGTAGCATGTTAAGACTTCATTTCTCCTACTGGCTAAGTACTATTTCATTGTATGTATGTACCACATTTTATTTATCCATTCATCTGTTGATGGGCATTTAGGTTGTTTCCACCTTTTGGTTATTGTGAATAGTGCTGCAATGAACCTTGGTGTACAAGTCTCTTTTTGAGTCTCTGCTTTCCAGTCTTTTGGGTATATACCCAGGAGTGGAATTGCTGGGTCATATGGTAGCTCTATTTTTAGTTTTTTGAGGAACTGCCACACTGTTTTCCACAATGGCTGTACCATTTTGCATTTCCACAAGCAATAGATAAGGATTCCAATTTCCTCGCAACCTCGATAACATTTGTTATTTTCTTATTTTTATTTTTTTTAATCTTAGCCACCCTAGTGGGAGTAAGTGGTATCTCACTGTGATTTTGATTTGCATCTCTCTGATGACTAATGATGCTGAGTATCTTTTCACGTGTTTGGTGTCCATCTGAATGCCCTCTTTGGTGAAATTCCTATTCAAGTCCTTTGCCCATTTGATGACTGGGTTGTCTGTTGTTAAGTTGTCGAAGTTTTATATACATTTTGGTTATTAGATTCTTGTTGGATATATGGCTTCCGATGATATTCTCCCAGTCAGTAGATTGTCTTCTTGCTTTTTTGGTTAAGTCTTTTGTTGGAGAAAAGTTTTTAATTTTTATCAGGTCCCACTTGTTCTTCTATGAATTTTATGGCTTAATTTGCATGTTTAGGTCCTTAACCTGTTTGGAATTTGTTTTTGTGTACAGTGTGAGGCATGAAAGAATTTTTGCATCTTATTCCTTGACTAATCTCTTTCTGCGATAATCATTCCTTTTGTACTTTATTAAGATAAACTGATAGCTGAATAACTATTTTCATTCATCTTAGTCCATCATCACAGTGATAAACTTAAAACATTCTAATTATTATAAGGTCACTCTAATCTGGGTCCTTTTTTAAAACATAATTTCAAAATTCACCAAAAAACTGGAAATCCATTGTTTCTTTCATATTCAATTTGCCTTGACAGAAATTCTTTACTTATTTTGTCAATTTGGTCTGGAGAGAATAGATTGAATCCAGGAATAAAATAATGCCTCAGTTGCTCCGTCCTGAGGCAATGAAGAAAGTATGTCACACAGTTATCAAAGCACTCGACCAGGTTTTTGGGGTGCCACTGACTGTCATTTGGGACCTGGGTACATATATGAAAGAAGGCAGTTTTCACATGGTAAGAACAGAATTTGTTCAGTTCTTTTCGGGTTTCAAACTTTTTTTTCAGCTGTTCTAAAAGATACTTCATTAGTTTTAAACAGTATTTCCTGTTGATCAAAAAAGAATATTTATTTTTATATATTTAAAACCCATCTCATTCCACAAAGGATTTTAGGTGTCTTACAGAAAAAATAAATTAAAAATAGTAAAGATATATAAATAACAAATATAAAGTCAACCTAAAACCTGATTATTTTTTAAAATATATGCTTTGAAGTTTCAAAAACAACATATCTCTTCTTCCCTCATCCCATTCCAGCTTCCACCAGAATTAATCCAACTACATAAAATTGACATTTATATTATTCATCCAGCTATTCAGTAGCTAGAAAAATCTTGTTTTAATTTTAATAAAACAACTTTGATTCCTTGGACTGCAAATATTTACCTTATCCATCCAGTTATTTAATAGTTGACAAAATTTGAGATTTTTAAAAAATTATTTAGACTTATTAGGAATACAATTTTCTTCAACGCCTGCACATAAATCTTAATGAACTTCCTGTGCCTACATGTTAGGCATTCTTACCTTGACATTTTAACTTTTGTGACCTTTATACTGGTTAATGCCAGAAATTCAAATGAACAATTGCTTTTTAATCTCAGTTTTTATGATATGTACGTTACCAAGAAAAATAATTACTCGTCTCTTAGTGTTGTTTCAAGTTTGGCCAGCCAATCAGTCCCTGGCCTTCAACAAAGCCAAACCATCCCTAAGAAAGAATCCAATAAAAGTGACCCTTTGGCTTCCACCCATTACATGATATTAATACGCATGATCTTTAAGCAACCAGACTACTGATACATCACATTGTCATAGCTAGTGTTCATAGCCTCTCACACTATCCTACCTTATATACCCATTACAGTCCAGGCCTTGCCTTCTAACACCCTTTCCTTAGTCCCTTGAATGTGATTTCTTTAAGTTTAATGCTTACTGTCATGGATTGAATTGTGTTCCCCAAAAATATGTGTCAATTTGGCTATGCCATGACTCACAGTTATTTATTATGTGACTGTCCACCATTTTGTCATCTGACGTGATTTTCCTATGTGTTGTAAATCCTACCTCTATGATGTCTATGAGATGCGATTAGCGACAGTTATGTTAATGAGGCAGGATTCAGTCTACAAGATTAGGTTGTGTCTTAAGTCAATCTCTTTTGAGAGATAAAAGACAGAATACAGCAGAGAGACAGGGGGATCTCATACCACCAAGAAAGCAGCACTGGGAGCACAGCATGTCCTTTGGACCCAGGGTTCCTGTGCTGAGAAGCTCCTAGACCAGGGGAAGACTGATGACAAGGATCTTCCCCCAGAACGGACAGACAGAAAGCCTTCCCCTAGAGCTGGGACCCTGAATTTGGACTTACAGCCTCCTAAACTGTGAGAGAATAAAATTCTCTTTGTTAAAGCCATCCACTTGTAGTATTTCTAGCAGCACTAGATAACTAACCCTCTGGATAATATCCTAGTCCAACCCGGCCCTGCCCTGCTCCCAGGACTCAACCCAGCATTGATCATCATAATGTTTGAGCTAACTGGTCAAAAATGAATTAAGCATTCCACAGACAATCTGCCATTTAACAAAATAAAAAAGTTACCTGCAACATTTCACTCCATTATTTTCACAGCATGTTTTAGTTTGTCCATGATCATTCAAAATATACTTTTCAATATGAGAGAAGGACAGACGCCATGTTTCTTCTAAATTTTGAAAAGAAAAACAGAAAAGCATTTTGCTAAAATTACCCATATCCAAGCAAAACAATATTTAAGCTATTTTCTTCACTAAAACGTCATTCTGAAAAGATTTTATATGGAAGACAGATGAAAATAAGTGAACAGATAAATAATGTAATTATATATTAAAATAGGCGCTTTGGAGCAACCAATGGGCTGAGATGGGAAAATGGCTGTGGGGGGAGTAAGAGCTTAAAATAGTCATAGTAAAATGGATTACCTTTTATAAACTGCTAAATTCAGCTTTTTAATATTTTGTTTCTATAGCATCCTTGCAAGTTTTAGTATTAAATAGAATAAATTGGGGAATATTTTCTTTTTATTTTTGGGGAAGAGTTTGTGTAAGAATACAACGATTTCCTCCTTTCCCCTAAGTTGTACCATGACTATCTCTTTTAAGCTCTGACCATCCTATTAACTAGCTGGTTTCATACCAGGAATGCCTGACTAATTTATGAGTATAAAATCAATCAGTACAGTTTGTCAAATTAGCAGAATAAAGAAACATCATGTGATCATCTAAAAGATGCAGAAAATGCAGCTAATAAAATTCAACATTCACTCATCATTTTTAAAAACACCTCTCAGGAGGTGGAGCCAACAGAAGCACCATGCCATCCCTCTGCAGCAAAGACCCGAAAAACGTAGTAAAACAGATGTAAACATCAGTCTTGGAACCCTAAGCATCAAATGAAGGGATAAAGAACTAGATTAAGCACTGAATGGAAGAAGAAACTGCCAAAGAACAGATAATGAGGAGAGCTATGGACTAGAGGTCCCCTACCAGCTAATGCAGTATAGCTTCACCATTGTGGAACACGGCCAACAACGACCCCAGACAGGGATTTTGGGAAGGCAACTTCATGGAGCTCCCACCAGGTGATAGAGCACCCAGTAACCAGAGAGATACACTTTCCCATCCTTCAACTTTCTGCCCTATATGCTGCCTCTGCCACTCTCCAGCAGGCCACAGTCGCTCAGCCAGAGACATACCAGCTCACCGCTGCCCCAGGTCTGCCCTGCCCCCACTGGCTAGCTCTCTCAGTGCCTTATTTTTTTTTTCTCTCTTTCCCTTTCTCCCTTTCCCTTGTTCCTCCCACCTAGCCCCCTACACCGCATCTGCCCCTTCCTGACTGTGGCTGTGCCACAATACCTGGTGAGAGAGACACCAGCTCAGGATCAGCCCAGTTTTGTCCCATCCCCAACGGCCAGTTCCCAAAGCACCATATTTTTTGTTGTTGTTGTTTCTTCTCTTTCATTCCCTTCCTTCCTTTCCTTTCTCCCACCTACCAGGCCCCATGCACTGCCTCTGCCCCTTCTTGAAGGGCCGTGCTGCACGGCTCGGTTAAAGAGTCCCTGGCACACAGCCTCCATGGGTATAACCCACCCCAGCCCGCAGCTCCTGCCATGCCACTACTTTTTTTTTTCTTACTTTTGTTTCTCTCTTTTCTCTCTCCCACCTAGCTCTGCACATTAATCCTTTCCCTTCCCTCCTGCCTCTCTGCACCACCCTCTGAACGCTATGCCCCCAAGCAGCACAGATGCAGGCCTACGGACCCCGCCCCATGCCACCCCCAGCCCTGCCCCATTGAGTGCTGTGCAACCTAGTGGCACTGGTATGGACCCCCAGACCCTGCTCTGCTGAGTGCCATGCCCCTGAGCGGAGCAAGCATGGACCCCTGGACCCAGCTGTCCCCCGCCCAGGCCTGCTGAGCACTGTGCCCCAGTGCAGGATGGGCACAGGCCCTCAGCCCCCGCCTCATGCCGCCTCTGGCCCCAACCCACCCTTCCCACCTGCTGGGCTTGCCCTGCTGCACCGTAGCTGAGTGACCAGCCCTGCCCACCTGGACAAGGTGGTGAGAACTATAGTGCTCACAGATGAGCAAATAACAAAACATGCCCAGGCCGCCCTCCCAGACATAACCAAATATAACAAAAAAGTAGGAAGGAACAAACAAACCTACAATCAATAAACAAAGAAAGTAATTCCTGAATGTCTCAGAGACAGCAGACAATATCAAGACATATTAAAAAAAACAAGGCTGGATGGCTCCAGTAAGCAACCAAAATAAAACACTAGATGACCTTCTGGTAGAAGAAAAGCCCCTGGAACTACTTGATAGGGAATTCAAAAGTCTAATATTCATGGCTCTTCAAGAGATTAGGAATGAGATCAAGGAAAACACAGACAAAACTAAGGAAAAAATAGACAAAAAAAGGGAAAATACAGACAAAGCAATGGAAGGATTCTGGAAAATAATACAAGAATAAAAATGTCAAAATGAATTAAAAAATCATGCAAAAACAACAATTAGAAATCCAAAAGATCACAAAATTTCAGAAATGGACAACACAATAGATGGTTTCAGGAGCAAATCTGAAACAATGGGAGAGAGGGTCAGTGAAATTGGAAGACAAATCCATGGATACTACTTTGTTTGAGGAAAAATCAGAGAAAAGAATGAAGAAAACCTAAGAAATATGTGGGATACAATCAAGAGCAAAAAACTGCCTGTGATCAGAGTTCCAGAACAGGGAGAGAAAATGGAAAACACACAGAAGATTGTTGAAGATTTGCTGGTAGAAAACTTCTCAAATATCATGAAAGACAAAAAGTTGACTATCCAAGAAGCTCAACGAACCCCATATAGGATAGACCCCAAAAGAAAGTCACCAAGACATATCATAACCACATTTGCCAAAACCAAACACAAAGAAAGAATCCTGAGAGCAGCTTGAAAAAAATGAAAAGTCACTTACAAAGGGGAAACAGTAACACTAAGCACTGACTACTCGGTAGACACTAATGCAGGCAAGAAGGCAATGGGATGACATGTACAAAACCTTAAAAGAAAAGAATTGTCATCCAGAAATAATCTATCCTGCAAAACTCTCTCTCAAATACGATGATGAAATTAGGACATTGCCAGGTAAAGAGAAATTAAGGAAATTTATAAAAACCAAACCAAGTTTACAAAAAATATTAAAGGGAGTCTTTTGGTTAAAGAACCAACAACATCAGACAACAAATGGAGACTAGGACACAGGACAGCATCAGCCAGATACCAACCTAAAGAACACTCAATAATAAAACAAAGCTAAACAACTTGAAACAGGGATACAGGGACATCAATTTGTAAATGGTGACAATGACAAAACAATAAAAGGCGGAATAAATGGCGTGGGTACAGAACTTTCAAATGGAGAGGAAGTCAAGGCGATATGAGTAATAAAAAACTGGTTCATAAAGAAAGTTAATCTACTTAACAGATTAAAAAAGAAAAACATAAAAACTCAGTAAACAGAAAATCTACAATAATGAAAGAAAAGGAAAGAAAATCCACAAACAAAATGAATCAGCACAGGAAAGTAAGAGGAACAAAGAAAATGTCAGCACCACAAAAAAAAAAAAAAAAAAAAGGCACAACAATATAACAGCAATAAACTCATACCTATCAATGATCATGCTGAATATAAATGGCTTAAATGCACCCATAAAGAGACAGAGAGTGGCAGAATGGATATAAAAACACGACCCATCAATATGCTGTCTACAAGAGACATACCTCAGATACAAAGACATAAATATACTAAAAATCAAAGAATGGAAAAAAGTATATCAAGCAAACAATAACCAAAAAAGAGCAGGAGTGGCAATACTAATCTCAGATAAAATAGACTTTAAGGCAAAATCCACCATAAAAGGCAAGAAAGGACATTATACAATGATTAAAGAGACAATCCACCATGATGATATAACCATAACAAATATCTAACACAGCCAATGACAGGGCTCCAAAATACGTAAAACAAACTCTAACAGCACTGAAAAGAGAAATAAACAGTTCCACAATAACAGTAGGAGACTTCAACACACCAATCATACTGGTAAAAGACAGAACATCTAGAAAGAAATTCAACAAAGATATAGAAGATCTAAAGGCCAAAATCAACCAATTTGACCTCACAGACACATAGAACACTCGACCCAACAGCAGCAAGGAATACATTCTTTTCCTATGCACCTGGAACATTCTCCAGAAAAGACATTTTAGCCACAAGGCCCATTGCCATCAAATCAATTTCGGCTCATAGTGACCCTATAGGACTGAGAAGATCTGCCCCCTAGGGTTTCCAAGGAGCAGCTGGTGGATTCTAACCACCAACCTTTTGGTTAGCAGATGAGCTCTGAAACACTACAGCACCAGGGCTCCAAAGCAAAATCCTCAGTAAAATCCAAAACATCAAAAAAATTCAAAGCATTCTCTCTGATCATACCACCATAAAGGCAGAAATCAATAACAGGAAAAGGTGGGGGGGATCAAATACATGGAAACTGAGTAACACCTTGCTTAACAACCGTGTAGCAGAAGAAATCAAAGAGGGAATCCAAAAATTCCTTGAATCAAATGAGAATGAAAACACATCATACTAAAACCTATGGGACACAACAAAGGCAGTGCTCAGAGGTCAATTTATAACAATAAACATATACATCAAAAAAGAACAGACCAAAACCAAAATGTTAACCATACAATTTGAACAAACAGAAAGAGAACAACAAAAGAAGACCACAGCCACCAGAAGAAAAGAAATAATAAAGATCAAAGCATAAATAAATCAAATAAAGAACAGAAAACCAACAGAATCAACAAGGTCAAAAGTTTAGTTACCTGAAAAGATCAACAAAACTGACAAACCATTGGCCAAACTGACAAAAGAAAAACAGGAGAGGAAGCAAATAACCCACATAAGAAGTAACATGGGGGACACTACAACAGACTCAAATGAAATAAAAAGGATCAAAACAATACTATGAAAAACTGTACTCCAACAAATTTGAGAACCTAGAGATTCTAGAAACACACTACCTACCTAAACTAACACAAACTGAGAAAGAAAATCTGAACAGACCCGTAACAAGAGAAGAGACTGAAGAGGTAATTAAGAAAAAAAAAAAAAAACTCCCAACAAAAAATATCCTGGCCCAGACAGCTTCACTGGAGAATTCTACCAAACATTCACAGAAGAGCTCACACCAGTACTACTCAAACTATTTCAGAGCATAGAATGCTCCTGAACTCATTCTATGAAGCCAGCATAACCCTGATACCAAAGCAAGGCAATGACACCACAAAAAAAAAAAAAAAAAAAAAAAATTACAGACCAGTATCTCTCATGAATATAGATGCAAAAATTCTCAACAAAATTCTAGCCAATAGAATTCAGCATCATATCAAAAAAAGAATACACCATGACCAAGTAGGGTTCATTTTAGGTATGCAAGGATGGTTCAACATTAGAAAATCAATCAACATAATTTACCACATAAATAGAACAAAAGAAAAGAATCACATGATCATCTCAATCGACACAGAAAAGGCATTTGATAAAATCCAACACCCATTCCTCATAAAAACTCTAAATAGAAATAGAAAGGAAATTCCTCAACATAATAAAGGGCATTTATATAAAACCAACAGCCAACATCATTCTCAACAGAGAAAGGCTGAAAGCATTACCCCTCAAACAGGAACAAGACAAGGATGCCCTTTATCACCACACCTATTTAACATTGTGTTGGAAATCCTAGCTAGAGCAATAAGGCAAAAAAAGAAATAAAGGGCATCCAAACTGCAAAGCAAGAAGTAAAACTATCCCTATTCACATATGATATAATCCTACAGAGAACTCCAAAGATTCCACAAAAAAAAAACTACTAGAATAGAAAGATTCAGCAGAGTAGCAGGATACAAGATCAACATACAAAAATCAGCTGGATTCCCATACACTAACAAAGAGAACTTCGAAACGGAAATCAGTAAAAGAATACCATTTATAATAGCCCCAAAAAAGATAAAATACTTAGGAATAAATCTAACCAGGGACATAAAAGATCTATACAAAGAAAACTACAAAATAATATTGCAAGAAACCAAAACAGACCTACATAAATGGAAAAACATACCACGCTCATGGACAGGAAGACTCAACATTATACAAATGTCATTTCTACCCAAAGCGATCTATAGATAAAAGGCAATCCTGATCCAAATACCCACAGCATTTTTAAACAAGATGGAAAAACTAACCAACAACTTTATATGGAAAGGAAAGAGGCCCAAGATAAACAAAGCACTATTGAAGAAAAAGAATAAAGTAGGATGCCTCACACTACCTTATCTCAGAGCCTACTATACAGCCATGGTAGTCAAAACAGCCTGGTACTGGTACAATGACAGACACATACACCAATGGAACATAACTGAGAACCCAGCCATAAATGCATCCACCTATGATTACCTGATCTTTGACAAAGGATCAAAGTCCATTAAATTGGGAAAAGACAGTCTTTTTTAACAAAAGCTGTCGGCAAAACTGGATGTCCATCTGTAAAAAAAAATGAAAAGAGGACCCATACCTCACACCAAAATGTATCAAAGACCTAAATATAAAACGAAAAATTAAAAAGATCATGGAAGAAAGAAAAAGGGACAACGCCAGGAGCCCTAATACATGGCATAAATACAATACAAACCATAACAGTGTACAAACACCAGAAGATAAACTAGGTAACTGGGAGATCCTAAAAATTAAACACTTATACTCATCAAAAGACTTCACCAGAAGAGTAAAAAGAGAAACTACAGACTGTGAAGTCCCAGAAGAAAACATGGATGAACCCCTCTATGAACTGGGAGTAAAGAAAAGCTTTCATTATTCTGACTCAGAACCTAGAAGTAATAAAGGAATCAACTAATACATTTAATGTAACTACATAAAAGTAACTTTTACATAGCAAAAGAACACCATAAGTAAAAAGAAAAATGACAAACTGCAAAAAAAAAAAAAAAACAAACAACTGCAACTTCTATCACAGAAAAAGAATTGATATCTTTAGTACATAAACAGCTTCTAATAATTGAGAAAAAAGAACAACAGCTCTATAAAGAATGGGCAAGAGATATGAACACTGTGTTCACAGAAAAAGAAACATGAATGGCTCTTAAACATATGAAAAATGCTCAATATCATTCATATATCAAAAAAAGCCATTCAAATCACACTGAAAATACAACAACAAAAGCATGATCCATGAAAGAAAAAACTGATTAGTTAGACTACTTATAAACTTCTGCTCTGTGAACAACATTGTCAAGAGAATGAAGCAACAGACTGGGATAAAATACCTGCAAAACACGTATCTGATAAAGGATTTGTATCCAAAATATGCAAAGACCATTACAACGCAACAATAAGAACACAATCCAATTAAAAAATGGGCAATGACTAACAGAAACCTCAACAAAGAAGACATACAATGGAAGAGCAGCATATGAAATGATGTTCAACATCATTTGTCATTAGGGAAATGCAAATTAAAAGGACAATGAATACCACTGTTGTTGTAACTTGCCTTCAAGTTGATTCTGATTCAGACTCATGACGACCCCACATGTACAGAACAGAACTGCTCCATTGAGTTTTCAAGGTTGTGACCTCTCGGAAGCAGATCACCAGGCCTGTCTTCCAAGGCACCTCTGGGTGGGTTCAAATCTCCAACCTTTCAGCTAGTAGTAGAGCACTTAACTATTTGCACCATCCTGCATGCATCTTAGAATGCTTAAAAATATTTTTAAATGACAATTCCAATTGCTGGCAAGGATGCAGATGAACAGGAACTCTCAATCATTGCTGGTGAGAATGCAAAATGGTACAGCCACTTTGGAAGAACCGTTTGGCAGTTTCTTACAAAGTTAAACGTATCATATGAGCCTCTGGGTGGGTTCAAACCACCAACCTCTCAGTTAGCAGCCGAGCGCTTAACCATTGCACCACCAGGGTTCCTTAACCCACTGTACAGATGAGCAAATAGGTTAGAGAGGCTTAGTAATTAGCCCAAAACCACACAGCAAGTAAGAGAAGATGCTTCAGGATTCAGATCCAGGACAGTCTGTCCCCAAGACCAGTGCTGCTTTTCTTTATAAAAAAAAAGATAAAACTCAAAGGTGGGCTACTAGATATTTTAGAACTGAGTATTTGGTATCATTACTACCCACCCACTGCTGTTGAGTCAATTCCAACTCATAGTGACCTCAGAGGGTTTCCAAAACTGTAAATCTCTACAGAAGCACACTGCCACATCTTTTTCCCTCAGAGCCGCTGGTGGTTTCAAACCAATGACCTTTTGATTAACAGTCAATTGCTTTAACCACTGTGCCACCAGCGCTCCTCCTTATTACTACAATCATGCCCTTTTTAATTCTGTCTCTCACTAAACTCCTATCTTATAGCTTATTTAGCCTGCTGGCTCCTGAAATGCCATCAGCATTAGCTGGCTGTTCATCTTATACTGCCCTAGTTAACATTAACAATCATTTCTTCAATACCTCTTTTACTATATATCTTTAAATTAACTGTCACATTCAAAATACCTTGAAAATCTTTTCCTTCCTTTGCGTGCTTAGGTACAAGGTAATATGGCTGTCGTCTTAGATCAGTCCTAACTTTTGTTCCAAGCCAGTTACTGATGGGCAGGCCTTCTTGGGTGCTAGCAGGCCAGCTGCTTTTTGATTCCAAAGCCAGGATTATATCCACAGATATTTCTTTAGGTTTTCTAATAAGAAGTGTTACAGCAGGGCTTCCTCTCTTCTTCCTCTCCAAAACAATATCTATACCTGTTCAAACATATAAAAAGGAAGAAAAGGTTTAATGGATCTAATTTTCTCTGGAAATCTAGAGAAAATAATATAACAGGAAATATATTAAGTGCTAAGCGCAAGGTGAAAATTAGTTCTAAAATGGAAAGTGACCCCATAAGACAAAATTCTTTATTCATTTAATCAGTATTTATTGATACTTACCATGGGGGAGGCAATAAGATCTTATGTGGTATATCGGATGACGAACCCCTGAAGACTGTGGTGGTTGGGAATGCTGTGATTAAATTTTCATTAGGAATTACAGGTGGCTACAGGGAAGCCCGGAGAAGAAGCCAGATAAGAGGTAGGGAGGCCAGTAGTCCAGCCCAGAGGATGGGTACCTGTGTAGCACGGAGGCAGTGAGAGTCAAGAGACAAGGAGCAGAAGTGAGAGCAACTTAAGAGTTCAAATCACCAGAACTGGTGGATGGATTAAATGTGTGCGGTAAAGAAGAAGGTAGGAGTTTGGGATGCCATCCCAGAATGTTTGTGTGGGAAACGTTGAGGTTGATTCCATTCTCCAAAATAGAGGAAGCAGGTGGAAGAAAGGCTGGGCCAGAATGAACTCCATTTTAGATGCACTGAGCTCCAGGTGCCTATGGAATACCCAAGTGGAGATGGCTACTGGGCAGGTGGCCATGGTGCTCAGACACTGCAGAGAGACCTCTGGATGAGAAAGATACTGGCTTTGGGAACTAGGGTGTACAAGAAGTCGCTATAGACATGGATAAGACTTTTGGGAGAGATCATGGTGAAAGAAAAGATAGGCATCAAGGTAAAAATCCTAGAAAATGCCCTCATTTTCTCATCACTAAATCAGCAAAACTGCCCATCTTTTATATACACTTTCCTTCTTCCTTCCTGTTACCACTAAGTGTCCTTTCCCCTTTCAAAGCCCATCACTGTCTCACCTTCTCAAGCACCTCGTACCTTCAATTATTCCCTCTCTTACATCAGTCATCTCTTCCTCCTTAGGATTATTCACATCTGCATACAAAGGTGTTCCAGTGTCTCCTATCCTAAAATGTACCACTCTCTCGAGCCTACATCCACTCCTCCCCACGCTCGCCCATCTCCTGGCTGCTTCACAGCCAAAACTTTAGAGAGCTGGCTGTGCAGGTTGTCTCCACTGTATCCCTGCCTTTTTGCTCTTCAGTCTTTTGGGTCCATCACCCCACTGAAACTGTTCTTGTCCAAGTCACCAACAACCCCCACAAAACCAAAGACCAAATCCAATGGTTTTCTGTCAGCAGCATTCTGAACACTGACCACTCCTTCGGCAAAACACTCACATTCTCCTTTTGCTCCTTCCCTTCAGCCCAGCCTCTAATGGGATCTTCTTACCACTCTAACATTGCAATTCACTCCCCACCCTCATCCCCGGCACTCTCCTGATCCCTTTCACTTCGCTAGACTTTTCCCCCCATACTACAGTACTTACTACATTCTAGCACACAAGATCATTATTTTTCTCCCAAGTGTTTTTTTATATTTTAATTTTTTGTTGTTGTTGAGAATATACACAGCAAAACACACACCAATACAACAGTTTCTACATGTATAATTCAGTGACACTGATTACATCTTTTGAGTTGTGTACCATTCTCACCCTCCTATTCTGAGTTGTTCCTCCTCCAGTGACATAAATTCACTGCCCCCTAGGGTTTCCACTTATTATTAATTACTTGTCTCCATTTGCAAAATTATAAGCTACAGAAGGTTAAGGGTCTTCATCTGTTTGCTCATTAATGTGTCCCAAACATCTAGAACACTGACTGGGCATTAGATGATTACTAAATACATATTAAATAATGAATAAATGAACCTACACTCTCTGCCTAGGTGATCTTCTCCATTCCCTATACCATCTGTATGTTGTGACTTACAAGTTTACCTGCAGCCCAAACATATCCTCTGAATTCCAAACCCCTATCCAACTGCACACTTGACGTCCACTTGAATGTATCACAGGAATCTCTAACCTATCCAAAGCCAAACTCTTAATTCACACCCCAAATTATGTTCCGCTTCAGTCCTTACCACCTCGAAAAATGGCACAACCAATGCACCTGAGGTGCTTAAACCAGAAACATAGGAACAGTCTTTAATTCAACCCTCTCCCTCAGTCCCTACATTTAATCCAGCAGCAAATACTGCTATAGCTTGGATCTGTCTGCTTCTCTCCATCCCCAGCACCCCAACTCCATCCCATCTAAGCCACCATCATCTTTCACCTGAACTTTTAAAAACACAAAGCCAATCACGACTCCCTGATTAAAATCTGTCAGTGACTTATTAATGCATATAAAATAAAATCTAAACACTTTCCCAGGATTTGCAAGTCCTTACGGGATCCAGCCTGCGGTGCAGTGAATTACTTAATATGGCCTTCTAGCCATAGTCTTTGTGACTCTGACATAATGATTGGGTGGAACTATGTAAAAAAAGTTGCTTGTGGCCCACCAAGGGGAGTGGACAACTTGCTGCTAATGCAAATACGGTGTACAGAACCTGTGATGGTTGTATGTGATTGTTGTATGATTTTCAGTAGTCTGTCAGTTCAGTTATGTAATGATGTAATTTGGCAGTTATGTAATGATGTAGTCATCCTCCATTTTGTGATCTGATGTAATTATCCTTCATTTTGTGATGTGCTGTAAATCCTAGTCTCTATGCCTGTGCTTATGGTCTCATTTGGGAGTGACTTTTCCGTTATGTTAATGAGGCAGGATTAGGATGGGATATATTTTGAGTTACCTCCTTACTAGAGGGTATGACTCAAGTCACCACCCTTATCCCAGTCACCACCCTTACCACCATTATTTAAGTCACACCCTTGTACTGGCTTGCTCAAGTAAGGGGAGTTTTCTTGAGGGTATGGTCTGCATCCAATATATATGAATGCTCTGGGTAAAGATCTCTCTCTTGCTCTGAATCCTGCATCCGGCTCATCATCATCTGACCTCTGGTTCTTGAAACTTGAGCCAGCAGCCTGCCATATGACCTGCCAATTCTGGAATTACCAGCTTCCACAGCCCTGTGAGCCAGCAGCCTATCATCTGACCTGATTTGCCAGCTTCTGCAGTCATGTGAGCCAGCAGCCTGTCATATGGTCTGCCAATCTGGGTTTGTCATCCCCTGCAACTATGTGAGTCAGGAGAAGCCTCCAGCCTGACCCACAGATTGGGGACTTACCAGCCTCTACAATCATATAAGCCATTTCCTTGACGGTTTGTGAGTTATCTTGAGACACTGCAGCAAATTATGGAACCCAAAATATGGGAAGCAGAGAACTGAGGGAAGGAGAAGTACTTGATGTTAGAAATGATGGAGTAGTACAGCAATTTAGAAAAGTTGGATATTTGGGACATCTTTAATTTCTACCTCATAGGAACCAGATTTGTGCTAATCCTTCTAAAAGAAATTATTTATTCAGGCCCCTGGCCACCTCTTCAACTTCATCTCATGTCACTCTCCCCTTGTCCACATGGGCCTCTTTCTGTTTCTTGAGCTTGTCAAGCTATTTTCTTCAGGACCTTGCCCTCCTGTCCTTCCCACCCCCTCCCCCAATCAATATCACTTCTCCCAGTTCATTAACTTCAGAGTTCTCACTGCAATTTGTATGTTTCTTCTACTAGATCACAAGCTTCAAGAGGGGAGTCCACTTGTTTCATTCAACCATATATATCCAGGGCACAGGCAGTAGCTTAATGAATATTCAATGAAGACTGAATAGAGTCAATTAACACTTTGGAAGAGTACCAAGAAAATGTAGTGGACAGAAACCAAGAGCTGTTTCTAGAAGGAGTTAGAGGTCAACAGTTTGCTGCAGGGAGGTCAAGAAAGATGAGGAGAGGACTATACACTGGCAGTTAGTAGGTATGACTAGAACTTGAAAACTCAGAAGTCAAAAATCTTACCTTCAATGTTTTTAATTTCTTCCTTAATGATTTTCCTAAACTTTGTCAGCATTTTAGAAGCAGACAGTATTTCATTTTCTAAAAACTGATTCAGAGGATTTCCCCCAGGATTTCTTTTGAACTTCACAAAGTAAAAAGCACCACTATTGCCATATTCTTCTAGCTGAATTCTGTAGCCATTCAGTTTAAACATGACATCAAATTCATTAGGAGCAGATATCTATGAAATAGTAAAAACAGAACAGAAATGCTTGCTTGTGAATATTTTCCCAGCTACTGTAATTAACGTCTTGAAATTTCTACTTAAAAGTCTACCTTGATAGTCATCCCTCTCATGAGAGGGGAAATAAACAAGTATTTCTGAAACATAAGATCTGGTGGAAAAACAATATTTAAAAGCGTTGTAGAAAGCCTTCAATTTCGTAAGCAAAATGTTGTTCTTATTACTGGCCAAAGTTACACTAAACAAGGGATTTGTGGGAGCGAATTCTTTTCAGCCTTCAAAAATAAAAGTTAAGAATTTTAAGAGTAAAATTTAGTATAGTAGGCTGAAGTAGAGTGGGTGAAAACCTGTCTTTTGCCACAGCACTATTCCCCTTAATAATTGTGCCCAAAATACAGAAATGTGGAAATGTGAGACTTGGAATAGTTTTATTGCAGTCTTCCATTTCATGGGAAATATTAGCATATGTAATAGCTAGGTTACTTGAGATCAGCTGATCATTTCTGTCGCAAATGTTTTATTGGCAAAAAGCAACTCATACTAAATAAAATTACTGCTTACCATCAAAAACAACAACAACAAAAAAAAAGTCTACCTTGAAAAACAAAATTCCAAATGTTTATATCCTCTGGAAATGGGATTAGAGGAGCTGGGAGCAGGTGGAAGGGTATTACTGGTTTTATTGAAACTTCGATACTCAATTTTTTTTTTTTTTTACCATGAACATGATTATTTTTATAATTAAAAATAATTCTAAATGATATCATGTAAGCTTGTAAAGTCTGTTCCCATTTTTTTCCTGAGTTTAAATTTTAGTAAAACTAAAGTCCTTTATGATATTTTCTTTTATATCATAAGACACTACAGTCACCCTCCTGTAACAATGGTCTCAAAAATGTGTGTAGTCCCTTCCTGGCCAGGTGAGCAAGGGCCATCTCGTTACAGCTGCTGGCCACCCAAGTGAGAGTGAGCTCCAAGTCATCCACTACATTAGTGTCTTTGAAGCACAGCATTTTTTTTTAATTGTTGTGCTTTAAGTGAAAGTTCACAGTTCAAGTTATACATTGTTATGTGACCCTAGGTGCTCTCCCTGTACTGTGACAGCACACTCCTCCTTTCCACCCCGACTTCCTGTGTCCATTCAACCAGCTCCTGACCCTCTCTGCCTTCTCATCTCACCTCTGGACAGGAGCTGCCCATTCAGTCTCATGTATCAGCTTGAGCTAAGAAGCACAATCTTCATGAGTATCATTTTACGTTCCACAATCCAGTCTAATCTTTGTCTGAAGAGTTGGCCTCGGGAATGGTTTTAGTTTTGGGCTAACAGAAAGTCTGGGGGCAATGTCTTCCGGGGTCCCTCCAGTCTCAGTCAAACCATTAAGTCTGGTGTTTTTACGATAATTTGAGTTCTGCACCCTACTTTTCTCCTGTTCCATCAGGGACTCTCTGTGTTCCCCGTCAGGGCAGTCATTGGTGGTAGCCAGGCACCATCTAGTTCTTCTGGTCGCAGGCTGATGAAGTTTCTCATTTATGTGGCCCTTTCTGTCTCTTGAGCTAATACTTTCCTGGTGTCTTTGGTGTTCTTCATTCTCCTTTGCTCCAGGCGGGTTGGAACCAATTGATGCACCTTAGATGGCCGCTCGCTAGCATTTAAGACCCTAGATGCTACTCACCAAAGTGGGATGCAGAACATTTTCTTAATAAACTGTTATGTCAATTGACCTAGATGTCCCCTGAAAGCATGGTCCCCAGACCCCTGCCCCTGCTACTCTGTCCCTCGAAGTGTTTGGTTGTATTCAGGAAACTTCTTAGCTTTTGGTTTAGTCCAGTTGTGCTGACTTCTCCTGTAGTATGCATTGTTCTTCCCTTCACCTAAGATAATTCTTGTCTACTAACTAGCTAGTGAACACCCCTCTCCCTCCCTTTCCACCCTAGTAACCACCAAACAATGTTTCTTCTGTGTTTAAACCTTTTCTGAATTCTTAATAAGAGTGGTCTTATACAATATTTGTCCTTTCGCGACTGACTAAATTCACTCAGCATAATGCCTTCCAGATTCCTCCATAAGATGTTTCACAGATTCATCATTGTTCTTTATTGTTGCATAGTATTCCATTGTGTGCATTTACCATAATTTGTTTATCCATTCATCCGCTGATGGGCACCTAGGTTGTTTCCATCTTTTTGCTATCATGAACAGTGCTGCAATGAACATGGGTGTGCATATATCTATTTGTATGATGGCTCTTATTTCTCTAGGATATATTCCAAGGAGTGGGATTGCTGGATCATATGGTACTTCTATTTCTAGCTTTTTAAGGAAGTGCCAAATTGATTTCCAAAGTGGTTGTACCATTTTACATTCCCACGAACAGTGTACAAGTATTCCAATCTCTCTACAAACTCTCCAACATTTACTATTTTGTGTTTTTTGGATTAATGCTAGCCTTGTTGGGGTGAGATGGTATCTCCATTGTAGTTTGGATTTGCATTTCTCTAATGGCTAATGATAGTGAGCATTTCCTCACGTGTCTGTTAACTGCCTGAACGTCTTCTTTCGCGAAGTGCCTGTTCATATCCTTTGCCCATTTTTTAATTGGGTTTTTTGTCTTTTTGTTGTCAAGGTTTTGCAGTATCTTGTAGATTTTAGAGATGAGACGCTGATCAGATTTGTCATAGCCAAAATTTTTTTCCCAGTCTGTAGGTTGTCTTTTTACTCTTTCGGTTAAGTCTTTTGATGAGCATAAGAGTTTGATTTTTAGGAGCTCCCAGTTATCTAGTTTCTCTTCTAGTGTTTGTGCACTGTTACTTATGGTTTATATTCTGTTTATGCCATGTATTAGGGCTCCTAGCGTTGTCCCTATTTTTTTTCCATGATCTTTATCATTTTAGATTTTATATTTAGGTTTTTGATCCATTTTGAGTTAGTTTTTATGCATGGTGTGAGGTAGGGGTCTTGTTTCAGTTTTTTGCAGATGAATATCCAGTTATGCCAGCACCATTTGTTAGACTGCCTTTTCCCCAATTAGTGGACGTTGGGCCTTTGTCAAATACCAGCTGCTCATAGGTGGATGAATTTACGTCTGGATTCTCAATTCTGTTCCATTGGTCTATGTATCTGTTGTTGTACCAGTACCAGGCTGTTTTGACTACCGTGGGGGTATAACAGGTTCTAAAATCAGGTAGTGTGAGGCCTCCCACTTCATTCTTCTTCCTCAGTAATGCTTTACTTATCCGGGGCCTCTTCCCTTTCCATCTGAAATTAGTTATTTGTTTCTCCATCTCATTAAAAAATGCCATTGGAATTTGGATTGGGATTGTATTGTATGTGTAGATCACTTTGGGTAGAACTGAAATTTTCAAAATGTTGAGTCTGCCTGTCCATGAGCAAGGTATGTTCTTCCACTTATGCAGGTCTCTTTTGGTTTCTTGCAGTAGTGTCCTGTAGTTTTCATTGTACAAGTCTTTACATCTCCAGTTAGATTTATTCCTAAGTATTTTATCCTTTGGGGGACTACTGTAAATGGTACTGATTTGGAGATTTCCTCTGTGAAGTTCCCTTTGTTGGTGTAGGGGAATCTAACTAATTTTTGTATGTTTATCTTGTATCCTGATAGTTTGCTGAAATCGTCTGTTGTTTCCAGTAGTTTTCTTGTGGATTCTTTGGGGTTTTCTGAAGCACAGCATTTTTAAGAACATCAAATAATATTATTTTTCATCTCACAATAATAACTATAGCAATTATAATATATGTTTATTTTTCCTAAAAAAAATGCCAGTAGCCTTTCATTAGAAGTATGCTTCAAGTATAGCACTTTGACTGCACCATTCAATACTGTAGCTAGCAGCCATATATGTCTACTGAACACACGGAATGTGGCTACTTTGAATTGAGACGTACTAAGGGTAAAATACACACTGGGAATGATGTCAATGAGAATGATGGAGTAAGAACCTTCAAAAATCTGCTCCTTCTTAAAAGTAGTAAGAATACAGGTCAAACTCAACTTTCTCAGAACTCTAAATTAACCAAAGGCTCGCAACAATCTGAGGAGCTCAGAACTTGTAAATTAACCAAGGCTTGCAACAATCCATGGAGTGTCTACGCAAGAAAAGTGGTCGAACCTCAGTAAAAACAGTGAGCTTTGTGGTGTTCTAAATTGCCCTATTCCCACCCTCAGCACCTTAGAAGGCTCTCTCTCATTCCCACTCCCTGTCAGTAACCCTCCACCAAGGGGAGCCAGTATTATGAGTTCTAATACCATAGATTAAGTTTGTCTGTTGGAAACTTCCTATAAATAAAATCATATAGTATGTACTCTTTTATATCTGAGTTTTTTCAAATTATGTGAGATTCATCCATATTGTTGTCTGCATTGGCAGTTCGTCCTTTTATCATTCCATGTAGTACTCCATTGCATTAATGGAACACATCAAAATATATTTACCAACTCTGTTGATGGATATTTGAGTTGTTTACAGTTTTTTAAATTTATTTTATTTATTTATTGATGTTGAGAATATACCCAGCAAAATGTTTATAGTTTTTAACTATTACAAATAATGCTGTTCTGAGCATTCCCGTATACATCTTTTGGTGGACATGAGCACTCATTTCTATTGAGTATATACCCTAGAGTGGAACTGCTGGATCGTAGGGTAGGTGTATCTTTAACTTTAGAAAAAACTGCCGATTTTCTAAAGAGGTAGTACCTATTTATCTCCCCACCATCAATGTAACAGAGTTTCAGTTGCTTTATATCTTCTCCAACACTTGGAACTATCGAGTCTATTTTAATTTTAGCCATTCAAGTAGATAGATGTGTAGTAGAATCACAACATAGTTTTAATTTGCATTTTCCTGATATTAATGACATTGAGCGCCTTTCATATGTTTATTGCTATCTGGATGCACACTAAAGTATCTGGTCAAGTCTTTTGCCCATTTTTAAATTAATTTGTCTTTCTCTTATTGATTTGTAGTTCTTTATATATTCTGAGTACGAGTCCTTTTTCAAAAATACATATTGCAAACATCTTCTCCCAGTCTATGGTTTGCATTTTTACTCTCTCAATGCCATCTTTTGATGAACAGCAGCTCTTAATTTTAACGAAATCTAATTTATCTATTTTTTTTATGGTTAGCATTTTTAGTATCCTGTTTAAGAAATATTTGCACATCCCGAGGTTATGAAGTTATTCTCTTATGCTTTCTTTTAGAAGCATTATTGTTTTACCTTTTACTTTTAGGCCTATGATAAATCTCAAATGACTTTTTTGTGTATGATGTGAGGTAGGGGTCAAGGTTCATGTTTTTCCTATGTGGATATACAATTGATCTAGCATCATTTATTTAAAAGACTACCCTTTCCCCCATTGAATTACATATATTGCATACATTGCGTACTGTACTGACTTGTATGCATGGGTGGATCTGTTTCTGGATATTTTATTCCATTGGCCTATTTGCCTATCATTGCACCAATACCATGTGCTTAATCAGGATAGCTTTATAGCAAGTCTTGCTATCTCTTAGGGTAAATTCTCCAACACTGTTCTCCTTTAGAATCGCCTTGACTATTCTGGGTGCCTTGCATTTCTACATAAATGTTATAACCAGCTGGTCAACTTAAATAAAGAACCGATGGATTCTGACTGAGATTACATTGAATCTGTAGATCAATTTGGGAAAATCTAAGCATTGTTTAACTTTCCATTTACCTAGCTCTTCTTCAAATTTACTCAGCAATACTTGGCAATTTTGAACATCTTTAACAAGACTTATTCCTAAACACTTGATGTTTTTGATGCTATTGTAAATTATATTTTATTCCATTTTTCACTTGTTTTTGCTAATATATGAAAATACTTTTGAGTTTTGTTTATTGACTTTATATCTAGCAACCTTGCTAAATTCACTAATTATTTCTAATAGTTTGTACAAAAGTCCAGTCATCTGTGCATAACAGTTTTATTTCTTCTTTTCTAATCTCATGCATTTTATTTCTTTTCTCGCCTTATTTCATTAGCTATATGTATTCTTTTGCTTTATTCAACATTATGCTTGTAAGATTCATTCATGTTGCTGCACGTTGCTATAGTTTGTTCCTTTTCTTGACTGGTTAATGTGCCATTGCGTGAAACCATCACAATCAATCGATTTCTATATAATCTTTTCATTCAGTTCAAACTATACAAATAGTAATGTATATTAACAACTAGGACAATAAGAACTACACGGACTGGCAATTCTACAGAGAATGTTTACAAGAAATTCACTAGATATTTTCCAGATTTTCACCCAGGTTGATGATATTACAATAAAATACATGAATGCTGATATAGAATCATGTAAATAAATCACTTAGGAGTATATTTTATCTGTGCTTTCAGAGCCTGAAATCCAAGTCTGAAATCAAGTTTATGTATATATGCATAATGGAAGAAAATACACCAAAATGATAATACTGGATAAAATAAACAAAATATTATTTTTCTTCTATATTCTTTTCTGAATTTTCCAGGGATATCAACACGGAGTGGTGAATACGGGAGAGGTTGAGGAGAAGGTTGAGGAAGGGGGATCTTAAGAGAGATCACCCACCCTTTCTTTTTCAGCCTATTCATTCATTCACTAGCCTGAGGGCTTGCTATATGTTAAGACTTAGGGATACAAAGATGCATATGCCTGCTCTCTTAATGGTTTATAAAGCTAAAACACTAAATCTAGAGTTTTACAATCATCCTCCTTCTAGAAGGAAGCAGTTAGTTGAATAAAGCCAATATTTAACTCCAAAATAAAATGATTACTTTAGTAAAGATATGTTATCAGCCTCTATTTGTGTTCATGCTACACCCAAGATCTTACACAAAGCTAAAGAATGTGTATAGACCACCACTCAGAAAACTGGCAAACAAAAACACAATCAAAGAAATTTGCCACTGGTCAGAAAATAAAATTAAGTCAGGAACCTGCTCCTATAACGGTCAATTTATAGTGTAATGATGATTTTAATGACTCAACCACCCACAAACAAACAGAGCTCCGGAAAACACACTTTAAAGCAATTATATTGATGTGTATTTAGGAAGTATGCTTTTTAATACCTATACATTTTCATTTAATTTTTTTCTAAGATCATTCACTGTGAGCTTCCAATATCTGCATAGAAATGGGAAAGGGTGGGGAGAGGTAACTGAAGACATTTTTCATATAGAGTACAGATGTCCTCCTCATAGGAAAAAGCCTCTTAGATAATATTAATTGTGTGGAATTCCTCAAAGATCACTCCAAATTATCCAAGTCAGAGTTTAACAACACCAAGTATAGTACTGCTAGAGAAATTCAATACACATCTGCTTACGCGAATGAATCTCTACATTTGAATTCCCTCATAGCAGTGTCTTGAGAGTGGCTGGCAATCAATACTGGTTAGTTGGATGATCGTTAGATGGATAGACGAATAAGGGAACCAACAAATGTTTGTTGGTTTAATTAGAAGTGTGTCACAAGCCACCGTAGAACAGGAGTCTGAGTTACTTCCGAAGGGAGGTTAGGGACCACGACCCGAGGGAGAGGATGAAGTCGGAGAGGGTGGAAAGAGGGGTAAGAAAGCCTAGCCTGGCGCGCTGGGCAGCTCACCTTGACGTGCTCGTAGTAGCTCCCGGTGCGCAGCAGTGAGATGCCTTTGAACTCGGACTCGCAGCTTTGCAGTCTCCGCAGCAGGTGGTCCACGACCCCGTTCACGACCTCAGCCGCCGAGATGATCTCCTGACGGCTCAACCTCAACTTTTCCAGCACAGCCCGAAGCTTACAGGCGCCAGGCGCCGACTCTCTTCGGCCAAGGCTCGGGGCCCGGACCAGCGGTCCGGGGTTCCGCAACTCCTTAGGCCCGGGCGCGGATCTCTGCTCATGAGCGGATTCCGCCCTCCCTTCGCAGCGAGATTCCGCCCTGGGAAGGGGCGCCCTTGGAGACGCAGAAGACTCCTGTCCCTCCAACGGGACGGCGGTGGCGGCGCCCAAGGGATGAGTGTCCCCGGCGCAGAGGGGCGCTTTCTTGGAGCGGGCCCCCAGTGCGCCGACCTGCGGCCTCGCCTGGGGGCCCGGGGCGCTCTTCTGCCGCAGGGACTCCGACTTCCCATCGGGGCTGCACCTTTCCCTGCAGGACTGGGCGGCCCCGGAAGCCGGCGGAGATTTGTCGGGCTCCTCCAGGGCGCCCTTCGCACTGCGCGCCGAGCGTTTTGGGGCCGCAGCTTCGGCTTTTTTAAGTTTCCGCGTCGCCTTTCCCCGCCGAGGGTCCATGCCGTCTGCTGTCTGCTCCTCGAAAGGGAACTCAGCTTCGGAAAAAGGCCCACTGGAACGGACAGCAGCAGTGAGGTAGGAAATGAAACTTAAAAATGGCGGTAATTGAGCGGCAAAGCGTCTGCCACCTGGAGGCGAGGCGCACACTGGAGGGGAACTGCACGCTGGGCGGGCGGTCACAGGGAGCCACGCCCCCGCCGCCAAGGGCCGGCCACCGCGTGCTCAGGAGTGGGTATTTTCTCACCTTCCAGTGGAAGCGGTGCAACTGACTTGGGAACAATACTTAACACAAGGGGAGGGAGGCAGAAAACACTGTTACAGTTTCTTGAGGGCTTTGGTCGCCAAACGTAGTTGCTGGAGCACCACCCAGACAAATTTTGGAAAACTAGGTACCTTCGCCCCAGGGCACTGAACCGGTTCTGCCCAGTTCAGTCAAGTCCAAGGAACAGACCCAAAACAATAACCAGAATGGGAAAAATTACTGGTTGAAGCCCTGCTGGAAACCTAATCTCCCTCTTAGAAAATAAAGGCAACATTCCCACTGCCTAGCAACCAAATCTCTTACCCTTACGATTTTGAGCAGAGGTCAGAAACAGTGGTGCCCCATCAAAGATGGCAGCCAACCTTGCCACTTTGTGTATAGTTCCGCACAGTCCTAGCAATAAGCTAACCTCCGGTATCAGACTCCTGCAAGGGCTCACTATGCCTCTTCCAAGTCTCCCATTCCAGAGCTTCCACTGGTAATTTTTCCCTTCTGGTTGTCATTTCGCCTCTTCCGGTTTTGCGTTCTTGGCCTTGACGAACCGATTTGAGACAGCCCTGTATTAAAAATCCTATTTTCTTTGTTTGGCTCCTCCCTCCCCCAGCTTTGCACTTGAATCTGCTTTCATGTAAACCCCATTGCGCCTGTGTAGTATGATTAAGAATGTTGCTGACCTAATTTGTATGAACTCCCTACTTGTAAACCCCTTTAAAAGTAATTGGCCTGCCTGCCCTTAGCGAGCAGCCTTGGCCGCAGCAGCTCTGACTGACATCATTTCCTTATGCAATGAAATAAAGGTGCCTTCCCTGTTCTCCCACCTTGGTCTCTCATCAATTGGCCAATATGAGTCATGCCAAGCATGAACCTGGGGTTTCTACCCTGTAACTGGCTGGAACCAGTTTGAAGCCCTGCTTCTCCCACATTTGAAGTAGGCAGATAAACTTTTCCTAGGCTCTTGGCGTATATTCATAAACAAAGATCTTTTCTCTCCTGGAGCTTACATTCTGGTAAGCTGGAAGAACACTGTTGGGGAAACAGACAACAGACAATAAACATATTACATAGGTAAATTATCTTGTATGGTAGACGATGATAAGCACTACTGAAAAAAGAAAAAATATGGGTTGGCAACCAATGTCACAAAACAATTTATGTATTAACAGTTTAATGAGAAACTAATTTACTCTGTAAACTTTCACCTAAATCATAATTTAAAGAAAGAAAAAGTAGTGCAAAGGGGATCAGGAATGAGGGGTGGTGCAATACTGAAATACTGAGAAAGTGACTGTCATGGATTGAATTGTGTCCCCCCAAAATGTCTGTCAACTTGGCTAGGTCATGATTCACAGTATTGTATGATTGTCTACCATTTTATCATCTGATGCAATTTCCCTATGTGTTGTAAATGCTATCATTATGATGTAATAAGATGGATTAGTGGCAGTTATCGATCAGGTCTACAAGATTAGATAGTATCTTAAGCCAATCTCTTCTGAGATATAAAAGAATTGAGCAGAGAGACATGGCGACCTCATACCACCAAGAAAGCAGTGCTGGGAGCAGAGCATGTCCTTTGGACTTGAGGTTCCTGCACTGAGATGCTCCCAGACCAAGGGAAGACTGATGACAAGGACCTTCCTTCAGAGCCGACAGAGAGAGAAAGCCTTCCCCTGGAGCCAGTGCCCTGAATTCGGACTTCTGTCCAACTGGACTGTGAGAGAATAAACTTCTCCTTGTTAAAGCCATCCACTTGTGGTATTTCTTTTACAGCAGCACTAGATAACTAAGACAGAGACTGCAAGTCACCAGTGACTGTCTTAGTTATCTAGTGCTGCTATGACAGAAATACCATAAGTGGATGGCTTTAACAAGGAGAAGTTCATTCTCTCCAGTCTAGGAGGCTATAAATCCAAATTTAGGGTGCCGACTCCAGGGGAAGGCTTTCTCTCTGTAGGCTCTAGAGGAAGGTCCTTGTCATCAGTCTTCCCCAGTCAAGGAGCTTCTCAGCACAGGGACTCCAGATCCAAAGGATGCACTATTCTCCTGGCTCTTGTTTCTTGGTGGTATGAGGTCCCCCTGTCTCTCTGCTTACTTCTCTTTTTTATCTCAAAAGAGATTGATTCAAGTAACAACATAATCTTGTACATTGAGTCCTGCCTCAGTAACATAACGGCCTCTAATCCTGCCTCGTTTACATCATAGAGATAGGATTTACCACACACAGGAAAATCACATCAGATGACAAAATGGTGAACAATCACACCATACTGGGAATCACAGCCTAGCCAAGTTTACACACACTTTGGGGGGATACAATTCAATCCATAATAGTAACATTTGAGCAGATTTAAAGGAGGGGATTCCTAGGGAAAGAATGTTCCAGACAAAATGAAAAGCTAATGAAATAAACCTAAGGTGGGATCATGCCTAGTTGTTCAAACAACATCAGGTGTGGCTGAAGCATGTTAAATATAAGATGTGTCATTGTCTCTCAGCTCCAAATGCACCTTTCAATAGATGCTCTATAATAAACAACAGAACTCCTTTAAGCATTTCTACTTTAAAGCAAGCATGAAGTTAAGCTTTCTCAACAGAGATTGCCAGAGGGACATTGCAGGGGGAAGAGGATTCCTGAGATATCCAATGGGAGGTGGGGGAGTGGACAAAGGGTGGACAAGGGAGAAAAACGTTAGCCTTTTATGGGTGTGACAACATCTGGTGGAGCTTGCTTGTGTCACAGGCACAGAAAGTGATCCCTCTGCAACTTGCAGCCTTGATCTGGCAATAACCTGTCCACAGCCCTCTCAGCAGGGAAACTAAACTCCTGCATGGCCTGCACACAGCCACCTGTGGTCCACAGGGTCACACATGGAGCCACTGCTCCCTCTGCAAGTCACCAAGTGCTCTCTGAAAGCCTTCTGCAGACACCCACTGGTTAACAGACACCCCCTGCGTGCTCTCTATCCTCCACTATGGAGGTTTGCCTAGCAACTCCAGACGCTCCAGTTTGGCTAAACCAGTGAACTTCTTTATCTGACGGCCAACTTATAACCTCCTATGAAGTTGGAACTTCTTCCAAGTTTGTCCTTCCTTGGATACTCTCCCTCAGCCCTAAGTTACCATATAGAGTTTCCTTTCATCTTGTAGTTACTCCTTTATTACAGCTAATGATTCTTATATTAAACTTCCCCTATTTAAACTATTGTGTGATTTCTATCTCCTGATTGGACTCAGGTTGCTACATGATTGGTAACAAGAATGCTCCCAGTAAGATAATCTTTAAACCTTAAACCAAATATTTCCATTAAAGTCTTCTTAAAACCAAATAATAATTTAGCTTAACTAGTAAGAAATGTCTGCCTCCAGCATTAGGCTCTTTTAAGAACTACCTACTTCCCGGCCAAACAATAAACAAGCCCATAAGATAAACAATAACACCTGAGAGGAATGTACTTCTTAGAAAAATTAATTACAGGAGATCAAAAGGGTAATATCTACCTGCCTGTCTTAGGCTTCTAGTGCTGCTATAACAGAAATACCACAGGTGGATGGCTTTAACAAACAGAAGTTTGTTCTCTCACAGTTTAGGAAGCTAGAAGTCTGAATTCAGGGTGCCAGCTCCAGGGGAAGGCTTTCTCTCTCTCAGCTTTGGGGGAAGGTCCTTGTCATTAATCTTCTCCTGGTCTACAAGCTTCTTAGCACAGGGACTCGGGGTCCAAAGGATGAGCTGTGCTCCCAGGGCTTCTTTCTTGGGGGTGTGAGGCCCTCCCCACCTTCTGCTCACTTCTCTCTTTTATATCTCAAAAGAGATTGACTCAAGTAGCAACCTAATCTTGTAGATTGAGTCCTACCTCATTAACATAACTGCCTCTAATTCTGCTTCATTAACATCATAAAAGTACGATTTAAACACATAGGAAAATCACATCAGATCACAAAATGGTAGACAATCACACAATACTGGGAATCATGGCCTAGCCAAATTGATACACATTTTTGGGGGACACAATTCAATCCATGTTGTTGTTAGGTGCCATCAGGTTGGGTCCGATTCAATCCATAACACTGCCCAAAAGCAAATATGAGAAGGCAGGAAGGGGTACAAAATCAGGACTAAAGGAAATGGGGAACCCAGGGCGGAAATGGGGAGAGTGCTGACACATTGTGGGGAGTGAAACCAAGGTCGTGAAATACTTTGTGTAAAAACTATCAAATAGGAAACTAATTTGCTCTCTAAACTTTCACCTAATGCACAATTTTAAAAACTATATGGGATCAAATTGACAACAGCAACTTGAAAGATTATATAGGAACTTTAGGGGGCATTGAATTTATGTTAATGAGAAGGAACAACTCAGAAAAGGAGAGTGAGAATGGTTACAGAACTTGAAGAATGTAATCAGTATCACTGAACTGTACATGTAGAAACTGTTGAACTGGTGTATGTTTTGCTGTGTATATTCTCAACAACAACAACAAAATAAATAAAAATTTAAAAAAAAAAAAGTCCCAGGAGATAAGACTCCTAAAGATAGAATTTTGGGATTGGTTTGGTTGTGCCCTTGGGCTTGAGCACAGTGCTCAAGGAGGAAAAACAAGCAAAGTAGACTGAGAAAGAGCAGCCAGAAATACAGGAGGAAAACTAGTGTAGTTTGATGTTTGGAAGTAGGGGCAGATTATCCAGTAAGCAAGGTGTCTTAATTATGTAGTGCTGCTATAACAGAAATACCACAAGTGGATGGCTTTTACAAAGAGAAATTTATTCTCTCACCATCTAGTAGGCTGAAAGTC